TTTTTCTAGATTATACCATAGGAAACTTTTTCCAGCTACTAGGTCTCAAAACCAATGCCACATTTTTGTTATTTTTATAAAAACCTCCAATTTCTAGGTACCAGTTTCTGTAGCATTTATATATCACCATAATAACACTGCATTATAATGAACTGTAAAAGCCTGCTGTGCATGGTGATAAGCATTCATTTAGCTCAAGTGGCTGTGGGTGGCCTGTGACAGACTAGCTGATGCAATGGACTCTGATCAAGGCATCTTCACTGTCTAGCTCAGCGATTTTCAACCAGTGTGTCACTGCACACTGGTGTGCCGCATAAGTTTTAAAACACGCAATACCTGACTATTTAGTCAGAGGCACTGACCTCTTTTCTCTTAGATTGTCAGATTTAAAAAATGACAACAGCCAGCATAACAGGAGCCATCAGGTGTAATGAACCAAAATTATACCTGTTTCTTTTGTCATATTAGCTATATATATATAATGTGCTGCAGAATTTTAGTAATTAGTTTATGGGTGCCATGAGATAAAAAAGGTTTAAAGTTGCTGGTCTAGCAGGCTTGCTGGTGGAGAAACACAATACTTTTCCAGGTCTCTGCTTGCAACAGGTCTGCTCAAATCCCACTTACAAAGAATGTCATGTGGCAAAATTCAGATCTGAGGTATGGTAAACACCTCACACCTCTTAGTGGGAATGACCACAGAGACATGAGGCAAAGAGCACAGACATAGGAAAGGATAGAGAATTGGATCCATGGATGCAGTTCACGTCTCCTGACCTTGTAGTTTACTACTTAAAAGATGTTGTAAACACTACATAGTAGAACTCCATTCCCTTCAACTCCTTATGCTATTGTCTATATTTTACTTCTGCACATTATATTGGCATTATTGTTGCTTTAAACCTTCAGTAATCCTCAAACATAGTTATCATATATCCAAATTTTTAAATACATCCAAAATATGATTGACCCAAAGCCCAAATTCAGGTCATTCTGAAATTAGGACTGCTTTTCTCCCAGCCACAACTCTCGTCCCCCCAGTTTACTCTTATAGTGATCTGTACCTTGGTGTCTGCAGGGGGATGTGGTGTTGGGGGATGCACCTACCCACCCTCCAAGGGGCAATCATCTCAGGATCCCTTCCTCAAATTGATCTCACCTTCTCTCCATCCTTAGACATCAGCACCATTTCACATGTCTGCTCTCTTTCTCTTTCTTTGGTCCTTAGGGGCACAGACTTGGATTCATCCTAATTCTTGGTTCAAAAAACATAGTACACTTGTTCATGCATGGTCCTATTTTATGTTCATTTATAATAATATGACACAATAAAGTGAGGACTTCCCTCCTCATTTGAGGAAACTTCTGACCAAAATATATTTTTTATTATGTTAAAATACACATAACATAAAATACATCATCCTAACCACTTTTACGTGTATAGTTCAGTGGTATTAAATGCATTCACATTGCTGTGCAGCCATCACCACCAACAATCATTAGAATTCTTTTTATTCTGTAAATCTGAAATTCTATATTCATAAACAATAAATCTTCATCCTCCCCACCACCCACCACTGGCAACCACCATTGCACTTTCTGTTTTTATTTTGACTAAACTACCTCAAATAAGTGGATTCATACAGTATTTGTCCTTTTGTGACTGGCTAATTGTACTTAGCACAATGTCCTCAAGGTTTATCCATGTTGTAGCATATCAGAATTTCCTTCCTCTCATAGGCTAAATAATATTCCATTGTATGTGTATTCCATATTTTAATAATCCATCACTGGTCAGTGGACACTTATTTTGCTGTTGTTAATAGCAAACTGCTATGAATATGGGTATGCAAATATCTCTTCAAGACCCTGCTTTCAGCCCAGCCAGTGTGGCTCAGTGGTTGAGCATCAGCCCATGCACCAAGAAGTTGCTGGTTCAATTCCCGGTCATGGCACATGCCCAGGATGTGGGCCAAATCCCCAGTGGGTGGCATGTAGGATGAGGCCAGTTGATGTTCTCTCGACTTTTCTATCTCTCTCTCTCTCTCTCTCCTTCTCCTTTCCTCTCTCTCTAAAATTAATTAAAAAATAAATAAATAAAAAGACCCTGCTTTCAAATATTTAGGGTATATGCCCACAAATGGAATTGCTAGGTCGAATAGTAATTTTATTTTTAACTTTTTGAGGAACTCCTGTACTGTTTTGAACAGTGGCTGTACCATTTTTATTCCCACCAACAGTACATAAGGGTTTTAATTTCTCCATATCCTGACCAACACTTGTTTTCTGTGTTTTATAACAACCATTTTAATGGGTGTAAGGTGATATCTCATAGTGCTAATTTGCTTTTCCCTTATGATTAGTGATGTTGAGCATCTTCTCATGTGCTTATTGGCTCTTTGTATCTCTTTGGAGAAATGTTTATTCAAGTCCTTTGCTCATTTTTGAATCAGGTTGGTTGTTTTGTTGTTGAATTTTCGGAGCTCTCCATATATTCTGGATATTAACACCTGATCAGACATATGATTATAAAATATTTTCTCCCATTCTCTGGGGTTTCTTTTTTACTCTAGTAAGTAGTTCTTTTCATATACATTTTTAAATGTTCAATTTTTTTATTAATGAGAAAATCACTACAAGCCCAATGTTATGAAGCTCTTGTCCTATCTTTTAAAATCTGTAGAGACTTCATTTGTGGCCTAATATATGGTCTGTCCTGGAAAATGACCCGTGTGCAATTGAGATGACATGTATACTATTGTTGGGTGAAGTGTTCTGTATGTGTCTGTTATATAACTCTATATTGTGTTGTTTAAGTCCTTTACCTCCTTCCTTATCTCTGTCTGTTTGTTCTTTCCATTATTGAAGGTGAAGTATTGAAGCCCCAACTATTATTGTAAAACTGTTTACCTGACGCTTCAATTTTGTGGGGTTTTGTTTTATATAGTTTAATGGTATGTCATTAGGTAAGTAAATGTTTATAATTGTTTTATCTTCTTGCCCTCATGATAGAGGATCTCTGTGTCTGTGGTAGCAGGTAGAACAGGCAGAACTCTGGTGTTTCTGGTGTAGTTCTTGAGCCCAGAGACTTTTCAGGGACATGGGCCTTGTTCTATCCTTCCTCCCGAGTAGTGCACCTGTACCAGGCCCTGGGAGTAGGAGTATATGATGCCCCCCTCCTGGTGCTCTATATGCAAGAAGGGGAGCAAGCTGTGTTATCTGGGTCCCCACAGGCAGCTTGGCTGTCTTCTGAATACCTGCACTGAGGAACCTTCTCTCTGGTTCCTGTCCTGCTTTCTCATGAGCTTCCAATGGAGACCCAGGGAAAAACCTACCCATGAGTGCAAACCTCTCTCTTCTATTATTCCATTTCCTGAGCTGGAACACTGCCAGCATTAAATAACTCATTGAAATTACAGCAGACTTCTTCCCACCCACATCTGTGTTGCACCTCTTCATTTGTGTCCTGTCAAAGGTAAAACAATCTGTGCCAGGCTTATCATGGTGGTCTTCTGTCTGCCTAGTTTTGTGTGGCCTTGGTGTCCATGTGAGTGTGACAGGGACATTTTCTCCCACCTCGACACTGTCTCCCTCAATGTCCTTGGTATCTCATAACAGTCTTCACTCTTGACTCAGAACTCAGCCTCCCATCCCCATTGAGCTCTGGACACTGTGAAGTCCAATCTGGCCATTCTCTACCCTCACTGTGGAAATGTACCCTCTGCATACCTATCTCAGGGTCCAGCAGCAGCCTGTGGTAAACCAGTCAGCCCCCTGTGCACTCTCTGGGACTCTTTCTCTATGGAGCACCCTCCTTCTGGCGTCCATTTCCTTGCAGATTCCAGCTGCCTGTGCTCCTTGCACTTCAAGGCCTGGAAAGTGCTCCAGGCAGGTGGGGCCCTTGTAGATTTTGCCTTCTCTGTTCTCTTTTCTCAGTGACCACATGGAAGGCCTCAGGTAGATTTTTAGCTTGCTTGATAGTTTCAAAGTAGTTTCCTAACTGCATTTTCCTGGGTGGCCTCTTCCAAACCATGGACTCTCTCTATTGCTCTACATTCCTGTGTACACCAGCTAATTATTCTGTGCCTCTTTTCTTGATGTTAATTACCTCTCCAACACAGCCAGCAGCAACCACTGACACTGCTGACATTCTGCTTCCTATCTCTTCCCCTCAAGTTATACATGCATCAGCTCCAAAACAGATTCCCCAAAGACAGCCTCCCTTCAACCCTGATCAGAGGGTCTTCAGCCAGTGAGAACAGCTCCTTCCAGTCATGTTAGCATGAAGCCTTTGGACCCACTCATGCATCGATCATAAAACTCAAGGTTTCTGAGACCAATTTTTTTTTCTTCAATCCCCACCTGAGGGTATTTTTCCAATGATTTTTAGATAGAGTTGGAGGGGGAAGGAAGAGAGAGAGAGAGAGAAAGAGAGACATCGATGTGAGAGAGAAACATTGATTGTCTGGATTTCCACAGGAACCTGACCGGGGGGCTAGGGATCGAACCTACAACTGAGGTACATTCCCTTGACCAGGAATCAAACCCAAGACTCTACGGTCCACAGCCAATGCTCTAACTGCTGAACCAAACAAGCCAGGGCATCTGGGACCAATTTTTTATCTCTCAGCATAGAGAGGACACAGGAGTGACACCCCACAAAATTTGAAGGTTTCTTTCTCGTACACATAGTGTCAGCCCTATAGTCACCCAGGGACAGAACTGATGGAGCTTTGTGCACTTAAGCTACAGCAGTAAGAAGGCAATGGGCTCAAATGGTCCCTGGCTCTTACATTTCCTTTATAAAGTTTCATGGGAGATTTATATTCACATTTCATTGACCAAAGCTTGAGTCTTAGTACAGAGAAGGGAGCCATTAGAGGGCCAGAGCAAGAGAAAAAGCTGCTAGTTGAGCCCACTGGGCCTGGGATTGGGCTGGGCCTGTCCTGGGGAACAGTGTGAAGAGGACCTCTCACTGGACCTACACTTCTTTCTGACAGGTGACTCCTCAGACCACCTGCAGGAAGTACAGATGCCTCTGATCCCATTGGCCTTGTGCCAGCTGCTCTATGGACACACATCATACATTTTGCCAGACATGATGTGTGCCGGGGACCTCAGGAACGTGAAGACCGTGTGTGAGGTGCATTCCATTGTGGGGACGGGGAGACAAGCCCATGGCTTTCATGAGTTCATCTGCTTGGAACTATTGGGGACACCTGTACTGAGTGGGTGGGTGGCCCCTAAAGGCCTGGCCCCTGCAGGGCTCAGAGCACATTACCATGCTTCCATAGGCTGGGTGGGACCATAAGATAGCCTAGGTGCAGATGGGACTCACGCCAAGTCAGTGCCCAGTAGACCCCAGTGCTGGCCGAAGCAGCCCTGGGCTCTGTGCCTGCCAGGGAGCTTCGCCTGCTGGCTGTCGCCCTGGGTCACTTGCTCTGACTTCCCACAGCAGGGAATTGGCAAGGTAGGGCTGTGGAGTGGAGGGGCTCTGGCCCTGGCCCTGCAGAATTGGGCTCTGGGTCACCCTCATGCAGGAGGCGGCAGACCCCAGTTTTCAGGTTCACAAGAAACTTTTCTTTTCTTCCAGGGTGATTCTGGGGGCCCACTCGTCTGTGAATTCAACCACATCTGGGTGCAAATTGGAATAGTGAGCTGGGGCCGTGGTTGCATGTTCCCTATGTATCCTGCCGTTTATGCTCGTGTCTCCCATTTCTCAACATGGATCCATCATCAGATAGCACACACACCACCACCTCCTCAACCGCTCCCCACCCTCTCCTCCACTCTGGGGGCCTCCTTCAGTGTCCTTATGACCATGATGGCCTTCCTGACAATGTTGTGAGGGCAAACCCCCTCTACCCACACCCCCCAATCCATGGCTTCCTCATGCTGCATGCCTCTGTCCCTGCCCATCTCAGCCCCTCAGGTCTCTAGACACCTGAGTGAGGTGAGACCCGCCAGCCAGCCCAATTCTGGGTCAAGAAGGGGCTGAGCCAAGGCCACACCGTGAGAGGCAGACCCAGTCTCACCACAGAAGGGTCAGGGCACACTGGTGCTCTGGCACCTGAAATTTGGTAATAGATTAAAAATTTACAAAGCAAATGTCTTGGAAGTGCTGTGTCTGTCTTTCCACCCAGAGTACAGGCTCCCTCACATAGACAGAGTGGCCTTGTCAGGATGACAGTTTTCAGGGTGAGAGGAGAATTACAAACCAAACACAGTGACTCTAGAAGGACAGCCATACAAACACATGTCTGGGTTTAGAGTCCAGGCCCCAGAAAAAGGTACCATTTTAAATACAACTATCAGTATCAGAGTTGTTAAGTACTTAATATTCCAATTTGAAAATTGGGAAACATGATCTGAGAGTAAGCACAGGGAAAGAACTAAAAAGATAAAAGCAAAAATCAGTTAGCCAAACAGCAGAAAAACATTCAAACATTTTAACACAAACATTTTAAAAATCTGATTTTGAAAAAAATCAAAAAGTAGGAAAAGAAATCACTAACTTAATCAAGATATAAAATGAGACCAAAAATATACAAAACAAGAAATAAAAGGGGAAAATGGCCATTAAATACAGAAATTTTAAGAAATCATAAGAGATATTAATAATACAACTTTATGTAAATAAATTTAAAATGAAAAGTGTCACTTTGTAGGGAAAAATAATAATTGAGTCAAACTAACCCCAATAGAGGACTCTAATACACTGCTGGTGGGAATGCAGACTGGTGCAGCCGCTGTGGAAAACAATATGGTGCTACCTCAAAAAATTAAAAATTGAACTTCCATTTGACCCAGTGATCCCACTGCTGGGAGTATACCCTAAGAAGCCTGAAACACCAACCAGGAAGAATATATGTACCCCCATGATCATAGCAGCACTATTTTCAATAGCTAAGATCTGGAAACAGCCCAAGTGTCCACCAGTAGACGAATGGATAAAAAAGCTGTGGTACATATACACAATGGAGTACTATGCAGCGGTAAGAAAGAAAGATCTCTTATCCTTTGAGACGACATGGAGGGACCTGGAAAGTATTATCCTACGTGAAATAAGCCAAGCAGAAAAAGACAAATACCACATGATCTCACTTATATACGGAATATAATGAACATAACAGTCTGAGGAATACAGTAGACCCAGAAACATGGAAGTAGGGCACAGACTGACAGCCCTCAGAAGAGGGGATGGGGGGTGGGGGGGTGGGAAGAGATAAACCACAGAACTCAAATGCATGTGTGCATGACCAATGGACATGGACAACTAAGCCGGGGACAGGGTGGAGGGGCGGTGGGGTGGGGGGTACCAATGTGGTAAAAAGGTAAAATATCTGTAACAAAAAAAATAAATAAAAAATTCATGAAAAAAAATAAATAAATAAAAATAAAGGGAAATGACTCAAAAAAAAAAAAAAAAAAACTAACCCCAATAGAGATAGAAAGTTTAACTAAATCAAATCCCATGGAAGAAACGAAAACATTTAAGAGCTTCCTCTTCCACTAAAAACACTTGACTGAGATGGTTTCCTTGGGAATCACCAAACCTTCCAATACAGTATTGCTCCTGTGTTGCCCCCACTATTCTAGATGCTGATGAGGAGGAGAGCATCCAAATGCTCCCTAGCAGCACATGTATATGAGTACATAAATCAGATCACACAGAAAAAGAAGATTGACACAATCCAACTTACGAAATACATTGTAATCAAGTAGGATTAATTCCATGAATAGAAAGATGATTAAATATTAGGAATCCACAGATATAATTCACCCTACCTTTGTTTTGCTAAAGAGAATATTAATGAAAAGTCTTTTTTTAAGCTTATTTTTATCATTGACATTATTATAGATGTCCCCTATTTCCCCCCACTTAAGTCTATTAACAAATCCAAAACTCATTTTGGATTTCAGTGAGCAATAAGATATGTATACTTCAGTCTAAAAGCCAGCCTTTTCTTAGTGGGTAACAAGAAGTGTATTTCTGCTAAAATTGGGGTCAAGGGCAGGTTGCACCTTTATGTGCTGCTCTGTCCCACAGAAGATAAACCACTACAGCTGCACAAGAGAACCATCCAGGGAAATAGAAAGGAGCCGTTGTAAAAAAAAAAAGCTTGGAGCATATCCAGAACCCCCAAGAGAAAAACATGAAACTGGACTTCTGGTCAAGATGGCAGTGTAGGTAAACACAGTATCATGTTCTCCTACAACCACATCAAACTTACAACTAAACTACAGAACAACCATCATTCAAAACCACCTGAAATCAAGCTGAATGGAAGTCCTACAACTACAAAATTGAAGAAGCAGCCACACCAAAACTGCAATCAAGAATCAGTTACAATAGAAGGTTGTAAAGTCCACATGATGGGTGCACCTCGAGGGCCCAGCTGGGAGACAAAGGAGGCTGTGCAACTGGACCCAACAGGACAACTACTGCAAAAGGCCACCATAGGAAGCCCAGGAGACATATCAACCCTACCTAGTACATAGAAACAAACACAGGGAGGCAGCCAAATCGAGGAGACACAAAAAAACAGGTCCCAGATGAAAGAACAGAACAAAACTCCAGGAAAAGAACAAAAAAAATGAAGATAAGCAATCTAACAGATGCAGAGTTCAAAACACTGCTCATAAGGATGCTCAATGAGCTTAGTGAGAACTTCAAGGATCTTAGTGAGGTCCTCAAGAGTGTAAAAAAGGACCAGTCAGAAATGAAGGAGGCACTAACTGTAATAAAGAATAATTTACAGAGATTCAATAGTACAATAAGTAGAGCGAAGAAGCAAACCATCGATTTGGAATAGAAGGAAGCAAAAACACCCAATTAAAACAGAAAAAAAAAAAAGAATTCAAAAAAATGAGGATAGTGTAAGGAGCCTCTGGGACAACTTCAACCATACCAACATTCGCATCATGGGGGTGCCAGAAGGAGAAAAGAGAGAACAAGAAATTGAAAACCTATTTGAAACAATAATGACAGAAAACTTCCCTAACTTGGTGAAGGAAACAGACATACAAATCCAGGAAGCACAGAGAGTCCCAAACAAGATGAACCCCAAGAGACTCACACCAAAACACATCATAATCAAAAGAAACTTTGCAGGTCAGGAGGGAGTGGCAAGATATATTTAGCATGATGAAAAGCAAGAACCTACAACCAAGATTACTCTATCCTGAAAAGTATAGAATCGACAGACATATAAAGACTTTCCCAGACAGGAAAAAGCTAAAGAAGTTCATCACCACCAAACCATTATTATATGAAATGTTGAAGGAGCTTCTTAAAGAAAAAGATCAAAAATATGAACAAACAAAATGGCAATGAATACATATCTATCAACAATGGAATCTACAAACAAAATGAACAAACAGACCTGAAACATTCTGGTAGATACAGAGAACATTTTGTTGGTTGCCAGATGGCACAGGGGTTGGGGGAATGGGTAAAAAATGTGAAGGGATTAAGAAGTACAAATTGGTTGTTAGACTAGCAAACCTCAAAGGGAAGGGAGGTGGGAAGAAATAAACCAAAGAACTTATATGCACATATGCATAACCAATGGAAACAGACAACAGTATGAGGAAAGGCAAGATGAGGGTGGGACTGGGGAGGAGGGGGGTCAATAGGGAAAAAAAGGAGAAATATCTGTAATACATTTAACAATAAGGACACTTTTTTTTTTTGTCTTTCTCTGACGGTGTTTGTACTTAATTTTTTTTTTAATTTTTTATTTATTTTTTGGTTACAGATATTTCACCTTTTTTACCCCATTGGCACCCCCCTCCCGACTCCACCCCTGCCCCATCCCCAGCTAAGTTGTCCATGTCCATGGGTCATGCATACATGCATATAAGTTTTGTGGTTTATCTCTTCCCAACCCCACCCCCTCTTCTGAGGGATGTCAGTCTGTGTGCTACTTCCATGTTTCTGGGTCGACCGTATTCCTCAGACTGTTATGTTCATTATATTCCGTATTTAAGTGAGATCATGTGGTATTTGTATTTTTCTGCTTGGCTTATTTCACGTAGGATAATACTTTCCAGGTCCCTCCATGTCATCTAAAAGGATAAAAGATCTTTCTTTCTTACAGCTGCATAGTACTCCATTGTGTATATGTACCACAGCTTTTTGATCCATTCACCTACTGATGGACACTTGGGCTGTTTCCAGATCTTAGCTATTGAAAATAGTGCTGCTATGAACATGGGGGTACATATATTCTTCCTGATTGGTGTTTCAGGCTTCTTAGGGTATATTCCTAGAAGTGGGATCACTGGGTCAAATGGAAGTTCAATTTTTAACTTTTTAAGGTAACACCATATTGTTTTCCATAGTGGCTGCACCAGTCTGCATTCCCACCAGCAGTGTATTACAGTCCCCTTTTCTCCACACCCTCACCAACACTTGTTTGATGATTTGTTGATGGCGGCCATTCTGACGGGTGTGAGGTGATACCTCCTTGTTGTTTTAATTTGCATCTCTCTGATGATTAGTGATGTTGAGCATTTCTTCATATGTCTCTTGGCCGTTTGTATGTCCTGTTTGGAGAGGTGTCTATTCAGCTCCTCTGAATATATTTTAATTGGGTTCTTTGTCTTCCTTTTGTTGAGTTGTATGAGCACTCTATATATATTGGAAATTAACCCCTTATCTGATATATCATTGGTAATGATGTTCTCCCATACAGTGGGTTGCCTTTCCATTTTGATGATTGTTTCTTTTGCTGTGCAGAAGCTGTTTAGTTTGATGTAGTCCCATATGTTCATTTTTACCTTTGTTTCTGTTGCTTTAGGTGATGTATCAGTGAAAATTCTGCTCCGTATGATGTCCGAAAT